GCTTGGGTCTGTAGCCTCAGTCTTGTTCAACACCAGGTTCACTGCTGCTTCTCTTGGCCTAAGTAGGATCTTTAAGGGCCTGTTGTAACCCTTGCCCTACGGGTGGTTAGTGTGTCATCTTGCTCCATTAGTGTGGAATTAGTTCAGGCCAAGTTCAAAAGATGGTGGGGAACATTGAGAGGTCTGGAGAGGTTTTTTCTGGAGGAGGAAAGCACTTTGTGCTCAGAAGGCCTGGTAGGAATTCCTAGCTGGAGGGGAGGGGTGCTCTGTGCCCAGAGGTGGAAGAGGAAACTCTTCTGGGACTGAGCAAGTCAGCCCTGGAGCACGGGAAAGGCATTCTTTCTAGTCTTCCTGTCTCACAGCTTCTGCTAGCCCACAGCTGTTTCTCTTGGTTTCTGAAAGGAGCATTTCTAGCAAGTTCCCTGGTGATGTGGGTACTGGTGTAGGGGCTGCTCTTAGAAAAGCCGAAGCTGAGGGCCAGAGCTGACACTGTTGGAGCAGAGTTGGTTTGTTCAGTTGTTTCATCCAGGACGCCCAAGTCCGGTGCCACAACACACAAGTGTACTGTGTTACCCTGACATGCAAGTGCTGATCAGCCTCGGCAGTGGGCACTCCACCTCAGGTAGAATGAAGCCTGGCATGAGTTTTGATGGGGGAGAGAGACTGCTGTCACTTTCTTACAGAAGGAAGCGTCCGGGAATGGTTGCCCAACTGTGGAGAAGAGACCATGGCTGTAGCTGCCGCCGCTTGTGTTAGGATGACTGCGGGCTGGCCTGGCAAGAGCTCACTTGCTGCTGTCTGCAGTGAGGGACATGGGGTGTGGAGAGAGGAAGCCTGTCCGGGTGGCCTAGGCTTCCTTCAGCTTGTAGCCTGGAGTTGGTGACCCTGTGGAGCAGAAGCTGTTGTTGGGGAAGACCTCAGTTTTTAGACTGAATTCAAGTAGTTTCCTTCTGAAGAAGTTATTGTGTATCCCGTGTTGTAAGCAAAGCTCCATGTAATTTTTATGCCTTCAACATGTTTAAGACTGAGTCTCATTGTACAGTCCTGCATTAGCCTGGAACTCACTGTGTTGACCAGGCTGCCTCTGCCTCACAAGCACTGGGACTAAAGACATGTACCACCATGCCCAGCCTTTTAATTGCTTTGGATGTCTGAGCTTTACATGAGTCTGAACTTTGTAACCGTAGGTTTCCAAATTTAATCTCCTGTTATTCCTGTAGTTTAAATGGAAGGGTATGGATATATTTACTTAAAACAACACTCTTAATTTCATGTTAGTTCTCTAGGTTCTTAGACTCTTACATTTTTGCCTAACTAAGAGTGAGATAATATTGTTACAAGTTGTTTAGACTTTTAGCACTGTGGTAGGGTTGCAATATATTGCTACAGTGTCCTGTCCCCTTATCAGTTTGTAATACATTTTGTAATGAATTGTCATAGGTAACACTTAGTTTCTTTCCTATTATTCAAAGAGATGCGTGATCATTTAGAAAATTTGAAGCATAACTAAGATTGAATGCTAAAACTTGTTGACAAAACGTGCATTTAGCCTCATGTTCAGTCTGGCGTCGGGGGAGGGTGTTTCATGTGAACTACCTGTAAGTTATTTCTATAACATTATAACATTAACATTTAATCACTCAATCCTTCCTGTGGCTCCAAGTCCATTGTAGAGTGCAGTGGATCCTGTCTGGGAGTCCTCAGTAAGCCAGCAGGAGGACTTAGGTGACAAATTCTTTAGTAACCAGGTATCTGGCTAGGCTGCTTTCCTGCCTTCCTGGGAGGAACAAGTCTGGCAAGGGGAAGAGAGGCGTGGTCTGATGGAATGTAAGCTTATCACAAAACAAATGCATTTGGATGACTTCTGGAAGGAGGGGCTAGACTTGCTCAATGAACTGGTCATCTCACCACAGGGAAGAGAAGAGGGGGAGTCACTTGTGAGCCCTTCAGAGAGAAGGAAGTTGTGACAGGTCGGCCCCTTGTGGCTGGCGGCAGCCAGGGACACCACCACAGATGACAGAAAAGGCAGCAGCGATAGGCTTGAGGCACAGCTGCTGCCCCAAAGAGGCTCGCTCTTCGAGGTTGTCCTACGGTGGCACGCTGTGCTGTGGAGCCTGCAGAGGCAGGGCACAAAGTGGCATGGCTTGAGTATGGGGTCAGCCCCTCCTCCCCCACCTTAGGAGACGCTGAAGAATGAGACGGGAACAAAGGAGTGCTCCCACCTTCGATTTACAGTCCCGTCCCACAAGATTTAGGGAACAGCTGTTGGCGACCTAGGACCTAGGAGCAGACAGTCACTGTCCACAGCTCCAGCCCCGATTTCTTAGTCATCTACATGGTTTTTAACAGGGGTCTTACAGTTGTAGCTCACTCTAGCCTAAACCTCTTTGTGAAAGTGTCTGTTTAATTTATGACTGTCTTATGCGTGTGCACACGTGTGCGTTTGTGTGTGTATGTAGACATTTGAATGTGTGTATGTATTTGCATGCCACAGCGCATGTGTGGAAATCTGCCGAGTCAGTTCTCCATTTTTTTTTTTTAACATGGTCAAGCTTAGGGTGCAACAAGCTTTTTACCTTTGGAGCCATCTTGACAGCTCAGGCTGTGGACTCTGGAGTCTCCTGTTTAGTTTATGTCTACACTGGGCTACTAATCATAGTTGACATGATGTGGGATCTCCCTTCACACTAGGGGTGTTGAAATGTGTGCGTTAAGGGACAGGGAGTGGCTGTTACAACATGCGTGCTTCTTGCCCAGAGTGCGTCTGTGCTTCTAGTATGACCTGAAACACTAAGACAGTAATAGGACTTGCTGTATCAGGATGGTTTTGACGTTAAGTATTTTACTAGAATATTATTAATGGGTTATGTTTTATCTCCTGGGTGTATCAGAGTTTTCTTAACCAATTGGCATAAAATTACTACTCTAGATTTCCTCTGAGCCATCTGCTATTGTAAATGAAAGCAAAATAAATATCTGGATTTTTCCAGTTGAAGCCAAGTTCTTAGAAATAGAAAACTAGGTCAGATCTGTAAAGTTGCTCACGCATATTGCCACTAGGCCTCTGTCTTAAGAGGTGAGAAACTGGCTATTTGATGATAGCAGTTTTGTTGTATTGTGAATAGTTTTGAAAAAGTCACCGGATAGTTTTTCTTGCTTAATTTTTCTTTGTGACCTTGAAGTGCAGAGGGGTAAGATGCCAGCCCTCCCTCCCCTCCCCTTCCTTTCCCTCCTCCCAATGCCCTGAAAGGTTAGGGTTAGGGTTTGGATTAGGACATTTGTTTTGCAGCTTGTGTCTGGGGTGTGGGCATAGAAAGATTTGACTGTGAAATCACTCTTCTTTGTAATGTTTGTATAATATGGTCAAAGGATCAAGTTTTGGGTATGTTAATCCTGATCATGAGGAGTGTGATTTCACTCGTTATGATTTCACGGAGGTGTGACACCTCCTGAGGTGTCCTGGTGGCATTTTTGATGTGGCACACAGATTTTATCACCTGCACAGAACAAGCAGGAGTATCTTTCTCTCGTGTGAGGATAATGTGGCAGCGGCTGCCAGCAAAAAGAGTTCTTACCTCAGCAAGAACTGAAGCTGCGGAGTGTGCTCTGGGAGAACGTGGAGATCTTGGGGTCAGATGACTGGGATGGGCCCTCTAATGCTGTGTGTGCTCACCGGCTTCACCCCTGCTAGGATCTGTTTGCAGAATGCCTGCTGTGTCTGGGCTGCTCAGTGTAGACTGTTTTATGACTGCTCTGAGGGTCAGAGTGGTGTGCAAGCAGGAGAGGAGAGACATCTGGGAAATTCATGTATGGAGACTTCCTGGTTGTTTTGAGCACATTTTTGAGTTTTTTTAGACACAGAAGGCCAGGGAAGATTTCGTTATGTCTGCTGGAAACTGTAGTTGATCCTCAGATGATAAAGTGCATTGACAGGGAAAGAGCAGCATGGCCTGTAAGGTCCTAGGGTTTTCAGGGTTAAGTCATAGGATGGAGGCATCTCGGCTTACGCCTTTTAAAGCATCACACCATGTAGCAATAAAGCCACAGGACCTCAGTGTCTCCCTCCTCCCTTGGCTTTCAGATGGTAGTGTGCAGCCTTTGCCTGCCTGCCTTGTACCATGCTTGGTATCCTTTTGCTCTGGTCCCAGATACTGATAGAGTTCCAGTTGGCTTTTGTTGTTTTTGGTACTGGGGACTGAACAAAAGGCCTCTAGCATCTGAGATGTGTGCTTTCTCGCTAAGACACACTCTACTAAGACTGCTTTCAAAGGCTGGAATCAGTAGTGGGAGTGTTATTGTAAGTAGAGTGTTTATGATGGAGGTGCTCCTTGGCCATTCCTGGAAAGGATGCATGTGTTTGACATCCATAAATGACTTGAGATAAAAGGCATCTACACATAATTCCTTTACCACAAACATAGTCGTATGAGGTTACCCCCCACTTATTCCTAATGAAAACACTCACCCCTAGGAGGATAGGACTTTGATTTTCCTTCTGTCATCATTTGCAGCTTTGGGTCAGTGAGGAGAGTTACTAGTTATTTCATATGTAGATAATTGTGCCTTGTGAAGTCATCACAAAGGTTTGGCTAATAGGTGACTATTAAATGATTATTTCCTTAACCTCTAGGTATGCAAACCACTCCCTCTTTTCACAATTTATCAATGAATAAAAATTAAGTCTAGCTACTAGGAAAAAAAAACTGTACCAACTCCCTTTACAGGACCAACTTGTTTTCTGACATTGTGAAAATTGAGGTTATGGGCTGGGAGAGATGGCTCAGTAGTTAAGAGCCTGGTTCTTGCTGAGAGCCCAGTTCCCAGCACCCACATGGAGGCTGACAATGGTCCCATCCCAGTCCCAGGGGATCTGACCCCCCTCTTCACGGACACCAGGCACGTAGGTGATGTGCAAACACTTGTACACATACAATAAATCTGAAAAGAAAGAAAACTAAGGTTAGTTTGCCCATATTTATTGACAAGAATTTTTCTGGGGTGGTGTGATGATATCTTGTTAATGTTCTAACACGTAAAGCTTGCCTGAAGATCAGAGGGTGGAGCTAGTTACTAGCTAACTGTAGAGGTCTGGAGGTCTGCACAGACAGACAGGAAGTGACTTGGCTGAGCAGAGACTTTATTTGTTAGAGTATAAACAAGATATCACTACAGGGAGGATCGTTTGGACGCTTTTATCTTCCTATTGTTTTCCTGTTCAGAGTAGGGCAGAGAGACACTCCGGACAGAGCCCGGGAGCGTGCAAGCTGCTTTGTTCTGTCAAATGACTGCGGTGCGTTGGTGTCTGTCAGCGGGAGAAGAGGACAGGCAGCAGCTCCGATTGTCACATTTGTTCCACGAGTCTGGAAACACTGGCGTTCCTCCTCGTCACCAGAGGCCTGCCCCTGAGGACCAGAGAACAAGCTGGGTTGTGGCTTTCTGGACTGGGATACTCTCCCATCCCTGGGAGCAGCAGCAGGGAAATTCCATGGAACAGCAGTAGGGCAAAAGTTGGAGCATTTGATGCCAGATTTCATCATGTACTCCTGAGTCCTGGCTTCATTCCTGGCCAAGGCCCAGGTATTTGGGGATTCAGTGTCAGTTTCAGCCATATTAAGGAGGGCTACATTTTAAAAACAAATAGCAAGGCTGACAGTGCGAACTTATACTGAGGCTTGAGAAGCCAGGGTTAGCCGGCCACCAGTTCAAAGTCAGACAGCACAGAGGCAGTCCACATCAGACTGTCTCCCTCTCCTTGTGACCTCCAGAGTCTGCTTCCGGCTCTCCCTGCTCAGAAGTTGGACTCAGTGCTGTGCATACTTCTGCTGCCTGCAGGTCTTGCCACACTGCTATACTTTAAACACTCCCGTGCTAATGAGCGCTCGATTCTGTGTCTGGAAGGGGGTGCTGTTGATCTGGTGCCCCGCAAGTGTAGCCTTTTGCTCACTAGCCTTACCTCATTAGCCGGCAGTCAAGATGGAAGGGATTGGGCTCTAACAGTCCTGGAGTCGAGAGGCATTTGTGGCTGTAGGGCCCGTGGGGTACTTTCAAAGGAAGCGCAATTGGAGCCTTTTTCGCCGACCGGTTCCTGAGAGACTTGGCACAGAACGATTCAGTGAATAAGACGGGTGTGAACAGGATTAAGGAGGAGTAACTTCAACATTGGAAACCTCCAGAGTAAAACATCTGCAGAGGGCAGAGCCAGAGCTCGGGGAGGTAAATAGGGATCTTTCTTTGGAGTGACAGGCAGGAGTGAATACCAGCTAAGGAACTGGGGCTGTGCTCACCAGGCAGAGGATGAACCCCATTGCCGGAACAGGAAGGCCGCTCTGGTGGTAGTTCGGTGGGTGGGAATAGACTGGGGTGAACCTCATTTTGGTCTCACCTCAGATGCCACCCTGAGGGCTTCATGGTCCAGCTGCTGCCTCCTTGTTCACGGGGATCAACTCTTAGCACCAGTTTCTTCTCCCTTCACCAGGGCCTCCTGGCCCCAGTGACCATTAAATCTTCTCACCTTGTGCACACACCTCAGGAGCAGGCAGTAACAGCCTGACCTGCTGTGATAGCAGGCACCCTGATAATAGATGGCCACACTTCGTTCTGTTCTGGGAAATGCAGCCTTGTCCTTGGGACGGTGTAAAGCACAGGTCCTTGAGTGGGCTGGGGTCTGTGGTTTAGGAAGTGCATGAAGAGCCTGCCTTTGGTAGGGTTCAAACAGAGGGCTAAGGCAAATTCAGAGAGTCAATTATAAACCCACCAGCCCCTTCCATAACTTCATGGTTTCCTGGCTGTTTAACATGCTTCTCTTCTTGTCTCCATGAACCTGACCCACCTCTAAGACAGCACACCAGTGCCATCTGTCTCCCCGGGCTTTGGTTTTGAATCCTAGCATCCAAAGCCGCGTGGCAGCATCATGGAAGCGTGCTGCTGGTGCTTGTGTCTGCCTTGTGGAGCCTCAAAGGGGAGACCCTCGAACCTCACTTCTGGTGGCCTGCTCCTTCCTCCGCTCCGGGTACACTCACGGGTGTTCTGTGTGTATAATTTGAGCAGTGGCTAATAAATACTCTGTACTGTCTCAGCAATGTTTTGTTAAAAATGGGAAAATGCATCCCGAGGGACTTACCGTGAGTTGGAATTATCAGTAACTGGGTCAGTTCTTACGGCACCAGGAAAGCTAGGTGTTTTTGCATGCTTGGGAGGCTGATGTTCCCTTATTCACAACATCTGGACAGTCCCTCACATGGGATGATCCTAGGCCAGGGTCACACTGCCAGCTAATACAGGACAGTGAGGCTGTAAGCCCCTCACCTTTGTAGCAGCGGTGGCTGCTTTTTCTCTACTAGCGGCGTTTTCCTGAACCAAGGAGACAAATGACAGCTGCAGGATAATGACTGCATTTTGGAGGTGGCTCCCCTTCTTAGAAGCTCCACTGTTTGGGAGTATGCCCTTAGAAGAAATTGACAGAACTGCCATCTTACATTTAGCATGTATAATTTTCTAAGCAGTATTTCGTGAATGTGTTTTTATAGGCTTGAGTGCCACCTGGCCATGTTCTCTGTATATTTTAAGTGAGAGGTGTCTACCCTGATGAGTGCAGTATCTTATTCATAAGTAGGAAAAGGTCTTGGTTACCTGGACCAGGCTCATGCTTTCTGTCATTTTTTAGGTAGAAACACTGGCCCACGTAGGGCCGCAGAGATGGTACGAGGGCTCATCTCTTTTAGATTTCCTTTCCCATTGGAGTCTTTCCTAAATGCGTTATAGGTCTAATACCCCAAACTGTGACGGGATTCAAGAGGCATGTGAGGGTCTTGGGTCTTGTTGGCCAGCAGGGGCTCCTTTCCTTGTTGCTTGGGTCTCTGTAGCCCGGGTTGGCCCCTTGTGCGAGTCTCTGAGGTGCTGGGATTACAGGTGTGCACCCCTGCTTGTGCCAAGAGCTTTACCTAGCACTTCAGAAAGGCAAGCTATTTGTGAACAGAGAGCTCTTTTTAAATCCTACTGCCTTAGGTCTGGGTGCTATAACAAAATACCACAGACCGGGTGGGGTGTGGCATAATTATTCCTCAGTGTTCTGGGAAGGTCAATATCTAGGTGCCGTGACACGCTTGTTTTGGGGTGGGACCCTTCCTGCCTCACACTTATGACTGATTCCCCGCATGGGGACACTAATTCCCTTACCGTGGTGACACTCTGGTGGCGTCATCCCTAATCCCATCCCACAGGGGTGGTGGTTGCTTAGAACTTCAATTTAGGAATTTTGTGGGAACATTTGGTCCATGGCGCCTAATGATGCTTTTAACAAAAGTTATCTAGTCATGTGTGGTTTGCATATGCTTGTGCTCCCAGCACTCAGCAATGGGCTCTTGAGATTGAGGCCAGCACGGGCCACTTGGCAAGGAGCCAGTCTGAACAACAACAGAGTCAGGCTATCTGGTGGAAAGTTTATTCTATTAAAGAGTCAACCTGGTGTGTTATGGATAAGTACACATACAGATATTTAAACCTGTGACCATCCATATTTGAAGCTCCATGGAGATGAATAGAATGGCGATTGAGTCTTTCCCTAACTGCCCATTGGTTCTTTAGGCAAATACTTTGGCACATTTTCTGAGTGTGGCTTTGGAGCCCGCATTTGCTAGCTAGTGCTAAAGCCACACGCTAACAGTTTTTTTTCTAATCCTTTTTTGAATAAGTGTTTAGTCAAGTTGCTGCAGTTTGATGTTTTACTCTTCTGGCTTTTGTGGGGGGCCCACCACCCAGCTCCCAAGTAAGTCACACGCAGAGGCTTAGTCTTAGTTACAAGTTGTTTCTAGCCAGCTTCTCTTAAGGTAAATTATCCCGAATATCTTTTGCCTCTGGGCTTTTCCTGTTCTTACCTCTGTAAATCTTACTCTGTGGATTGTTGGGTGGCTGGGTGGCTGGGTGGCTAGGTGGCTGGGTGGCTGGGTGGCTGGGTGGCTGGGTGGCTGGGTGGCTGGCCCCTGATGTCCTCCTCTCCTTGTTCTCTTGTTCCTCCTCTTCCTCCTTCTATTTATTTCCTGCCTGTCAGCCCCGCCTATCCTGGCTGCTGCTTCACTATTGGCCATTCATTCAGCACTTTATTTGACTATAAGGTGTTTTAAACTGGCGAAGAACCACAGCTTCACAGAGTTAAACAAATGCGGCGTAAACAAAAGTCACACACCTTAAAATAATAGTCTACCACAAATTTCATTGTCTTTAATTTGCTTTCTGGTGGAACATTTTACAACTTATATAGAGTATTATAATGACTTCCCAAGCCCACACAGATCTAAACATTTAAAGGACATGTGTCACAGTATCTTCCTAGTATGTGAAATAGACACCACCCCAGCCCGAGACCCCTGGACACCCCCTCCCTTCCCTTTCTTGAAGAAGGACCCATTTTCCTAGATTTGGGGTGTAACACTGCCATGCATATTTTATAGTTACACACCTTTGTAAGAAATATAAATATTTTACAGCATTATGAAAGTAATAGCAAACTATATTTTCAGAGGAAAAAGCCATGTTTTACAAATGGTCTCATTTTTATTTGTCACTGGGGTATTTTTAAACTTATATATTTCATTTCATTGCATGATTATTCTATAGTATGTTTACTGTTAGGCTGTTTCCAAATTTTCACTAGGATTCATAGGACTCCTGTGGGTATGTTTTCATATAATTGCTGATACACAGTTTCTCTGGGTGCTGATACATGTGTGTGTGTTTCTCTGGGTGCTGATACGTGTGTGTGTGTGTGTGTGTGTGTGTGTGTGTGTGTGTGTCTGTCTGTCTGTCTGTCTGTCTGTCTGGGTGTCTGGGTGTGGTTCCTCATAGCTGTTGAGACATGTATGTGTGTGTTTCTCTGGGTGCTGATACATGTATGTGTGTGTTTCTCTGAGTGCTGATACATGTGTGTGTGTGTGTCTCTGGGTGTGGTTCTTCATAGATGTTGATACATGGATGTGTGAGTTTCTCTGGAGACGGCGCTGTGCAGTTGCTGGGAGGTAGGATCTACACACAATGCTATCTACAATGTCTTTCCCAGTGTTTCTCCATTCCTCTGCAGAGCAGACCGTCCATCATGTGTGGTGTCACTGATCATTGTCTCCTCTTATACTTAATATTAAACGTCTGGAGTTTTCACATTTGGAGGGTAGAAGGTAATAGTTTACTGCTCTAACTTGAATGTAGAATTCGGCTGGGAGCAGCAGTGATTACCTTTTCACACATACATAGGCCTTTCAGGTGCGTGCGTGTGTTCACACGCATGCCTGGAGTTCAGGAAATGGCATCAGGTCCCCTGGAACTGGAATTACAGATGAGATGGTTATGAACTACTTGGGTGCTGGGAACTGAAACTTGGTCCTCTGCAAGAACAGCAAGGGTTCCTAACTGCTGGGCTCTCTCTCCAGGCCTCTAGGCTGGCTGAGCACTCAGGATCCTCCTGTCCCCGTCCTCCCAGTGCTGGGACCCTCATGCTTGTGTGTGTGTGTGTGTGTGTGTGTGTGTGTGTGTGGTACTTAACTGACTGAGCCATCTCCCCAGACCCATGCCTCCTTTTTGGTTTGTCTGTTTATAATGCACATGATTGAGTGATTCAGTTCAGATAGCTGTATCAGTCACTGAATCTTGACGAGGACTCATGATCATGGTCCTAGCCCAGTTTTTATTCACACTTCTAAAGCATTGACCTGGAGCGAACTCAGCAAAAACCTCCAAAATACTAACAACTTACACTGTCTTGAATTTTGTTATTCTTTGTTTGATTCTCTGTGGTTTTTGGATCTTATTTCAGAAATAATATCTTACATTTATAAAACTATTTTATGATATAATAGTGCACGTATATGTGACACCCCAAAGAACTTACCAAATGTGATATTTAAGTATACCAGCATAATAGATCTTTTTCCACCTTAAGGAATTCTCCTTTATGAACTGATGTGTGTGTGTGTGTGTGTGTGTGTGTGTGTGTGTGTGTGTGTGTGAGTGAGTGAGTGAGTGAGTGAATATATATTCTCAGCTGAACCACTGCCTCTCTTCTGCCTGTTACATTTCCAAAGACAGAGTAGCTTAGATGGGGGTAAATAGCCTGACTTCTTATGGAATAAACCTTATAGAAGTCAATAAATACTAAAGGTTCTAGCATCTGGTTCTATAGATCTTTCTTTCCAAATTTTTAAATGCAGAAATATGTATATTCAGTGTGCATCTAGCTAATGGATGGGCGGGCTATCACTATTCTATAAGAAGGTGAATCAATCCAGTTTTACCTCAGGCTGTTGGAGCTAATGGATGGGCGGGCTTTCATTATTCCATAAGACGGTGTGTGTGCATCAAGCCAGTTTTACCTGAGTTGTTAGAGCTAATGGATGGGTATTGCTATTCCATAAAAGGCCCCGGGGCACAAAGATCTGAGATAGGCCTGGTGAGCTGGGGAGACCTGTCCATCAAGCCGTTTGTTTATACAGCCTTCCTGAAGGAATACACTGGACTATCTTGTGACCTCAGGTGTGGACTTGGGCCACCAGATGTTTCACTTAATTATGTTCTGTTCCTTCTCATGTTGTTTGTTCTATTCTTTTTGTAACTGGGGCAAAGTGGGAGACTCACCCAGTCTAAGCATGCTTAATGTACTTCATAACTATGTTAACCAAAGATTTTTACTCTTGTGTCACACTCAACTAATTGTTATCTATTATTATGACTATTTGTCACGTAAGAAGAAAATCGGTTCATCCAAAGAAGCAGTGAGGGCCTTGGCCTGCTGT